TACCCTGGCGAAACGCTGCGTTTCAGCCTTTACGAACAAATGCCAGGGCCGAGAGAAAGGGCTCCTTCGGCCAACTTATGGGCGTGATTTACTAGGCACAAACATTGCCCCCACATCCTTGGATCCTTCGGCCTCGGCATGGGTAGGGGCCGAATGGATTCCAAGGGATGGACCCTTTNAACGCCTTCGCCTTTTCCTTCAAACTCCCAAAACTCTGGGTTTATCTTCTTCGAAGGTTCATACTGGCTTTCCCCAGTCTTCTCAGCCTTTGTTCCTCAAATTTGAAACCCTTATTATTTAGTGAACTTCCCTCTTGCTTTAATCGCTCTGGAGCCCTTCTTCGATTCCTGGGCTTCGCCCTCCCTTATTCCAAACTGCCCTAATGATCCTCATTGCAGCTTCGTCAAAACCAGAGAACCAACCCTGCTGAGTCTCATGACTTGGCGATTTGGCCTGGTCCAGATGACTTGGCAGTTTGATGAGGGCGAGAGGACCTGGGATGATGAACTCGCCATGGCCAAATTTATGCGGCTGAGTACTCTGGTTACGCCCATGGCCGGAGTGACGGCCCTTACCATGGTTGGAGTGATGGCTCCTCCCATAATTGGAATGACGACCGCTTACCATGCCCAGAGTGATGGCCGCTATCACGGCCTGAACGACGGTCGTTGTCACCGTTGGAATGGCGACTGCTTACCACGGTTAGGGTCGCAGCTGCCCTCCGTGTCCGGAGTGCCAGCCCGTGTGCTTTCCACGGCCTGGGTGAAGCTTTGGCTTGAGGCTAGCCGTGGCTGATGGCGATGTAGGTGGCGGAGGCCCTGCCTTGGGGGAAAGCGTCTGATTGTCTGACAAGAGGACCAAGGAGCTGAAGTGCGTAGATTTAGGATGTGATTTTTCTTATGTGCTTGTACTCGGCCAAGACCTGGCCATCTCCTTGTAAACGCACCCCTCTTTTAAATAAAATGAAGTATGATTTGCTTTAGTCTGTCCTTGTCATGTTGCATACTCCACTTTGATATTTGCGAATCTCATAACTTTTTTACGGCCGTCTCCCACAATGACGGGGTATATCGCTTCAAATACTGACCGTTGATCGGCAAGTTGTGCCATTCCCCATCTCTATCTTTTAATTGAAATGCACCTCGGCCGAGAATTCGTTCGATAATGAACGGCCCTTCCCAATTGGGCGAGAATTTGCCGAACCGAGGGTCTTTTGTCCCAATAGGAAGCACGGCTCGCCATACTAGGTCGCCTTCGGCGAAAGCCTTTTGCTTAACCCTTTTGTTGTAAGCCCTCGCCGCGATTTGCTTTTGTGCCTGCATTAGGTTATAGGCATCGAGTCTAGATTGCTCCAAATCTTCCAACTCCTGAGCCATGGCTTGTGCATAATTCCCCTTTTCAAGCCCAGGCTGCTCGGCCACACGGAGAGACCGAACCTTTAACTCCATTGGGAGATGTGCCCGCGGCCACACGGAGAGTCTAGATTGCTCCAAATCTTCCAACTCCTGAGTCGTGACCGTAGGTTAAGGCGTAAAGAGCTTCGGGGAGCAAGTCGTGCCCGTGGCCGACCGCTTTGAGGTTCGGTAAGCCCAAAGAGCTTCGGGGAGCAAGTCGTGCCACGCCCTAGGTTTTTCCTCGATCATCTTCTCCAGGATGCCCTTGATCACCTTGTTACTTGCTTCGGCCTGTCCGTTAGATTGAGGGTAGTAAGGTGTTGAGTGGATCAATTTGATTCCCATTTTCTCGGTGTACTCCCGTGTCTCGGCCGATGCGAATACCGGGCCGTTGTCGGCTGTGATAGTTTCTGGGATACCGAACCGATGAACGATGTGATTGTCAAAGAATTTGACCACCTGTGCACTGGATATTGACCGATAGGACTCGGCCTCGACCCACTTGGGGAAATAGTCGGTCGCCACCAGAATCCATGCGTGTTGGTTGGATGCGGCCGGATGGATTTTGCCGATGATGTCCACGGCCCACCCTCTGAACGGCCACGGTTTGGTCACCAGGTGGAAGGCTTCGGCCGGTACCCTTTGTATGGGGCCGTAGATTTGACACTTGATACATCCCTTCACATATTCTATGCAATCTTTCAAAATGGTCGGCCAGTAATAGCCGTGCCTCCGAACCAACCACCTCATCTTGACCCCAGACTGATGAGCACCACAAATCCCCTCGTGGGATTCATTCATGATGACCTTGATGTCCTCGGCGCTGGGACATAGGAGTAATAAACCATCTGATCC